TTAAGAGATATCGGTGTCTAAGTATGTGTGTCTGTATTTATCAAATAAATACAATTTACCAAATAAATACATGTGGTGTAAAATAAGTCGAATAGTAATTTATCAAGTTTATAATTATGCATATTTACATCTGTTGATTTCTATTGTATGAACGTACGAGATGATTAATTTACATTATTATCATGTATTTATTGTGTTTTAAGTTTTTTTAACACTTAAATTCATGTTAAAGTCCATTGCAACCCAATATTTAAGGGCAGTCTTGCTGAGGGGTTGCCTTTAATTGTTGGGGCATAAGAATTGCAGCTACCGCTTAGCCCTGCGTTATCGTAAGAGGCGACTCAATGGGTTCGAATAAATGGAGTCCATGCATTTATAGTTCAAGCAGGTGAGGTGGTTTTGACTCATGGTTTTGCTTTAAGGTTTGTAACACCCAAGGTTAGCCAAAATAATCTTTTCTGTTTCGGCGCCATATGTCCTGTACTTTGTTGATGCGCCGTAAAGCCAAAGAGAAAAAAAAAGAAGAACAAAATTCTTTTAGGTAATACGATATTTAGGGATACACCGTGTACTTATCTGCTTAACATCAACTGTTTTGTATTGCTTTAGATCATAGGGGTGTAGTTATGTCATTCGTGTCTTTTATAATTAACAAATATCTAGGGGAACAGATTGACCAATATGTCTGTGCGTGGGCGTGTGTTTTATTATATAGTAACACATTTTTGCATACATTTTAATCTTATATCAACTTGTTATGATTGAAATAAATACCAGCCTGTTGTATCGAAGTACTTGCATATTCAGTTTTAAAACTGATCAAACAATACTATGTGTTATTTCATTAATTAGTTATCATCACAGGAATAGTGCATGTCGTCAATCATTGTGACTAAATATATTACACAAAATCATCTTTCCTGTTTCGGCGCTATATGACATAAACTGTGTTCCGTAAAATCAAACAAAAAGAGAAAAAACGAGTTGATATGTTTTATTTATGTACTATATTGCTGAACATTGCTGTCGTATTTCTGAGCACACGTGTATGCACATAGAGAATAAATCGAAACAAAACGAATGTCGTGGAATCGAAAGGCATTTCATGTTGATAGACAATAACTGGTAGCGCTAGGGAGATATTGTACTTACCTATTTTAATATCACTAACATTATTATGATTACAATAATTATTTCTTGATGTTGTAATATGTAAATAAGATTTCATTTAAAGTATTTATCGTATGTTGTTTATATAAAATAAAAATAAAGAACATTTGATAACCAAAAAATAAGTGCGTACAATGCGAATATTTGGACTCCATAAATAAAAGTGTTTTAGTTTAGGCGATGGTATTCATACAATAATTCATAACCTATGTCTGTATTTACATTGTATCTAAAAGCAATCAATTTCAGTACTTTCTTGCTTATATAAATTGTTAAATTCCCATTATCAATCATTCTTGAATGCTTTGCAAAGGTGTTTTCTTTTCACAAAATAACGTTTGTCATTTTTGAACTTTATTTATTTTCTGGTTGACTTAACTATAGTAATGATTGATTTATACATTTACAGTTTTGACCTTTGTTTCCGGGGTTACACTTTTACTGTCACCCCTTGCATTGTCGCATACAATGCTATTAAAAAAAGCAATACTTAGATCCTATTTATAAATTATGCATCACATATTATTATTCGTACAGCATTTATGTGATGGATTCTGTAGATGATCTCATTTTCTTCGTGCTTAACGTTTCGTATGTGCTCGAAGTTTTAATACATTTACAACCGCACGAATTTGATTGAAAAGTAATACAAAACGTATGGTGTTTTTTATTGGCCGTTTATCCAATGTTCCGTTGACGGCCTTTTTTTTAAACGTTTAACAATTTAATGAGTCGACAATGACAACTCGTATTCTTTGACACCTAATTATACAAACTAAATGTGGGAAAAAAATCAACATGTAATGATATAAATTATGAAATAAATGATAGTTCTCTTAACATTTTTACCAACTAAATTTCAAAAGCCTACAATTCCCGCTGCTCTCTTCAAATTTGTATTACATTTATTGAATTTATGAAATAAACGCGTGCACCGCGATAATATAGTGAGTGATTATTTATTTTCGTTGCAAGAACTGCAAGAATGATTAAATTTGACTAAGACCTTTGTGCAAAATGCACGTGCGTGTTGTGAATTTCTTAAGGATAGAAAAAAATATGGAAGTCTACGTCCAATTTCGTAAAGCATTAACAATTATTTTATTAAGTATGTTTGTTGTTTGTTCTGGTTGTTTTCTGTGTTTGTTTATATTTGGAGCGTTATAATCATCAAAAATAATCACAGAACAGTACGGAGTGAACCGTATAGTGATACAACGTAAACGCCGGAGGACACGGATACAACCAACGTGAGCATTTAACATTCGCATAATGAAGATACACGGCGCTTCTACCACGACGAAAAGGTGAGGACGACATCAAGCAACACAAAACAAAACATCATCAACAACACAAACAAGCATCAACCAACGTGAATCAAGGTGTGTAATTCTTGTTGGTGTTTCGCAATTTTCTTTGTTCTTTTGCTTCCTCTTTGCTCTGCTTCAGCTACCTTCAGAGATGTCCGACATGACTTTAAGTATATTTTTGTCAAAAATGTGCAGGCGTAAGGCCCTGCAATGTGTGTAAACCTCCATTGCATGGGAAATTAATGTTGCTAATTTTGAATCACTCGACCACTTAACGGTACTGGTTCGAATCCCACCTGGGACAACGGTTGATTTTCTGTTTGTATGCAGCCAGATAAATTGTATAGTATTTGTGGTCCAGACGGCCAGGTTATCTGTCATGGTTTAAATATGACAAATAATGAAGTGCTAAACATTTAAATTAAATAAAAGGTTTATTGATTTTAAAAAGTAGCAAACTATATGTTTAAAATATTCGTAAAAAATCAATATATCATTTTTGATGGTATAATGTTATAGATTAAAAAATTACAAATAATTCAAAACTATAATTTAAAATTAGCTTATTAATAGGTGCAAAATAAAATTAATTAAAAACATTGCTTTGTCATATTTCAATAAACATTGCAAAAAAGAATCGTCGTGTTTACCACAATGTTTTGTGGTTTAAAACTGACAATAGACAAAAAACCTATCATCTAAATTCTTCAAGGAGGCTTTGTATGATATGCCGGCAACCAAGCAATTTTTACCCTTTTTTTTGGTAAATTTAATCACATCCAAAAACAGTTGACGTCATATAAGAACGTAATTTGGTCAAACTCGTGTTTGAATTTCCTCGTGAAAGTATACATGGCATGTTATTTCAACTTGAAAATAAATATGCAACCAGTTTTAAAAGACAGTTTATGCGAAAAAGACTGCTGGAAATTTTTCAAAATCTTATACATTTCTCACTTTTCGAAACAAGGATAGGGTTAATTAGACGCCTGGAAAGACAAATATGATTTAAACCCAGCTCAAAAGAAGCGACGTAGGAGTTGTAAGTTGCTTGAAACGTTCATTTCTTATTGGTGTTTTAATAATTTCTAACTTTTACGTCATATGGCAAGGCCTAGAATATTTTTACCTACATTTCTAGGTATATATGTTTATCAAGAAACAACCGCTGAAATGAATTGTTAAGATACACAATTGACGGCTTAATTTATGCCAAATACGATACTGTCAGAATTTTTTTAAATCTTATTAGTTGTACCATTTCATTTTTGCAATTCTTAAACTAGAAATTGTCGATATTTTAGGATTCTACGATTGATGTGAGAAATTAGCTTCAAAACGAAATTTAATACATGTAATTGACTATTTTATTACCAAATTAATGACAAGTCTGTGTCATAATTCAGACATTATTTACATATCACTGTGGTGCGTTTTCTCTCGGAATGCCGGGTATAATCAGTTAGATGACTAGAAGGGGACCTTCAAACACTCACTGAAGTTGAGGATAAACACAGTTGACATTTAACTAATTTGATTTCAATGAAGTGGGGAAAGTTATGACATGGCATACAATATTTTTATTGTAATATGATAAGAAATTTACATTACATTTTCAGTTAAAATCTATCAAACTGTCAAACTTCTTAATGAACTTTGAATTTTTTTATTGTAATATTTTCAATCTGGTATTTCAGTTATATGATACTATGGTAAGATATTAAATTATTCCAAAGATCAATTTTGTTGTTGTAACTTTTTATAACTTAAAATTTATGTAATAAAGCGACAATAAGCTGATGAAATTATTTTCGTTTTTATTTGTTAACGCATACAAAATTTGATTTGTGTACGCGCGTGTGTGTGTGTGCGTGTGTGTACGTGCGTGCGTGTGTGTGTTAGTTCGTCTGTAAGAGGTTGTGAGGGTATGTGTTTACAAAGACTCATCAGTAATTGCAAAAAGTTGGCTAATTATCTAAATTGTTGTACGTAATTTATGGAAAGACATTTGCTATCCAAACATTATTTTCCGGTTGATACAGAAATAGAATCTTAAGTTTGCAAAAAAAAAAGAAAAAAAATGGAACTCCTAAAAAACGCACAGAAGGACAAAATTGAAATAATGCAGTCTCGGTTTGATTGTTCGTGGACGATACTGGAAAGTGCAAATTACTGTCTACGCCCCCTAGCACCGGCTTAAGCAGAATTCAAAAGTTAAAAGCTTATTTTGGAGATGTGTATAGTGTTTTATTGCAAACAATAATTGGTTATATATGAGTATGTTGAATAGATATCAAACTGACGACCCCCTCACCTCGCCCACTTTCTATTTTAGTAATCTTTTTATATTACGTTTAACTCTTAAATCAAAAAGATTGTTTATTCTTTTATGTTTTGTTTCGATCTTTTTTTTAGGGAGGGGGTTGTTTTGTTTTTAGAGGGTTTTGTTGGTCTTTTTTTTTCAAATATTAGGAATATAATATAATCATATTATTAAATAAGTATCATTTTATATTGTAGGACCTAGCTATCGGGTCAAACTGAGTGGTGGTCAGGAAGCATCAAGTGGCAAGGTCCTGATAGAGCACGATGGCCAGACAGGATTTGTCTGCAGTGATCACTTTAGCCATGCAGATGCTAAAGTCGTCTGCAAAGAACTTGGCTTTAAAAATGGCCTGGCTTATAATCTAATGGCGTAAGTAGAAATTGTCATTACTTTGATAATGTCCTTAAGGATATAATATGCTCATCTTTGGATAGCAAAAATGTATTGAAATCAAGGAAATTCTTACTTTATATGTCTAATTTGAATAAGAAAAAGCACAAACTATGTTAAGAAGCTGCATTCTCTATTACTGATCAAGTTCATTTGGTCTTTTAATGATACTATGTATTCAAAATGTGTTTACCTATAGGGTGTAGAGTTTAAAACGTATACATAATATATTCTCTGTTTGTACTAAAATGATGTTTATTGTGCATTTAAAAAGAGATTGTATATCAATTACCATTATTTTAAAAGTTGAGCAAAATTATCTTTAAATTGTATATTTATATGGATAATTTATTTGTAAATATTTGACCAATAAATTCCTTGTCTAATTTTTTTTTATTTATAAGTCAGATCTTGAAGTTTGTGGTTAAATCCTGTTAAAACTGGTTATCAAACTAAACAAGAAAAAAATGCACAAGCTATGGCACGTTATTAAAGATATATTTTATTGTATGTGTATTTGATTTATTATATAATATGTTACCGAAACGCTGGATTGAGTATCAACTTATAATTGTATTTCCTTGTTTAATTGTCAAACAATTTGATAGTTTTATAGTAAAAAAATGTTTCCACCACTTTTCAAAATTAATTTGCTGGCTCATTTGACTGAAACGTTAACGTCTGTTCAAAATCTGTTGTTTTTTTTTTATTTTATTGTTGTTTTATGGTGTGTACTGTGGTTTGTTAGCGGGCAGCTTATAAAAATTATTACCATTAAAATGAAGTATATCTTAATGTTCACGAAACATACATACATTTTCCTATTGAATTAAACATTGAGCTCGTATTCACAATGAGTTATATACATCGAGTGATGTATGAAAATGTATCTCATCTATAAAATCAAACAACATTTGATTAAACTATTGCATAAATAAAATAATCGTTATCAAAAAAGGTTCGATTAAAGACATTGCACGATGTTCTCGTGAGCAAAAAGTGAACCAAATTAATTTTTTCAATCGTAGCAAGAATAGTGCTCGTGTTTTGAACGTTATGCACGAACAAATTGTATATCCGCCACAAAACCTCTTGGGGCATAGCGGAAACACTTTAACTTTTGTCCCCACATTTCAAATCGGACATATCTCCACCGCGTTGACATGGTAGTGGGGACAGACTGGGGGATTCAACTTGGTTTTTTCAAGACCACCACCACCCATCCTTTCATCCCCACTCTCCCGCTCCGTCCCAGAGGAATAAGGGGTGTGGTTACAAATGACTAATGCACATTGTACATGTGTTTCATTTTGAAGATGAGTATTTTCTGCACTTGCAGTCCTCAAACACCCTACATCAATCTTGATAAACTGTCTGGATGCATTTTCATTGATAGATCACCGCATCGTATTCAGAATTTAATACACTTTCCAAAATGTTCCATAAAAAAACATACAATAACATACATGCATATAGTGATTTAGTAGCTTATATGCCACTTAATGGTATTTGTTAAAAAGATATATAGCCCTTAAGTAAGATGCAGTATTTATTGTGATTGAGTTAAATGTTAATAGGATATTTATTATAACTCATATTTATACGTCGAACTTTGGTTCAAGGGCACCATTACTTTGATAAAAAAGTAAAATGAAGGAGTCATGCATTTTATGCTCTCAAAAAATCTAAAAATGTTTTGAATAAAAAAGTTTTTAAAATGTGTTAAGCAAATAAAAACACGCTCGGAAGTATACATCTTTCTATCTTATTACTATATCTTAAAATTTATTTTTACCATCTAACTGAAATTTGGACAGTTTTTATTATTATTATTATTATTATTATTATTATTATTATTATTATTATCCAAAATATTTCTGGAGTTACTGTACGTAAACTCAAAATAACTTTTGGTGGCGTATATAAATTAATTGAGTTCGCTTGTCATACTATTAGTTCTAAGCACGCGATTAGTATACAATCAAACTTTACATATAAATTTTCTAGACAACAAAACTTGCTGAAAAATAGCCAAAATTAGTATACAATGATTTCAACGGGAAAATAACATTTGAGACATGGTCTTGTTTATTTTTTCTTATTATTGTTTTTATTTTTCAACTGTGATCTTACGAGTATTTGTTATAATACGTCCTTATTTTGACATCTCTTTTATATGTCACAGATCGTTTCCATACAGCCGTTACACAGAAGATGAGCCGATTCTTTCAAATTTGAATTGCATCGGAAACGAGGTCAGACTAAAAGATTGCAATGGTTTCCGGTTGGATAACGTAACTTCCTGTACGTGGTTTGCTGCGGCACTTTGCTACAATAACAAGCGTAAGTTTTCAACTGTGCTTTCTATTAACAAAATGGTATTTCTAAGCCCGAAACAAAAAACAGACTATTTTTATATATTTTTTATCAAATTTTTATGCAGATTTCTTATTCAAGCACTCATATGAGAACAATCAGGTGATGCGCATGCGTGTAATTTATATTAGGGGTAGCAGAACGCTTATTAACAAAATGTTTAGAAGGGGCATAATTATACTAAAATAATGTATTATATAATATATTATTAGTTAATTAGATATTTTGTACGAAATGTAATTATGTGAATGCCATGAATTCTAAAAATATATGCATTTCAATATGTTTACTTAATAGATTAAAAACAATACACGGGGAAATGAAATTGTTTCTTGTTCCTTAATGAAAATAAAATACATCTTCAATGGTACAATTATAGAATGAACCGAATCATGTTCTGGCTTTGATTTTAATAAAACCTTTTAGTATTCATTAAAATGGGGGAATAACTGTCCTAATGGTTTTTCTTTTTTTTTTTCAGCGTAGACTACGGCTAGTGAACGGTATTAAATCCGGGTTCCGGATGGGGAGATGAAATCGGGGGGAGTGGGGGAAATTTTGTGTGCAAACAGAAATTTGACGAGAGT